GAGCCTCAAGCTATCACCCTGGATAGAGTGCTGTGGCATCACAGCTCACAGCAACCTCCAACTCTTGGGCTCAAGAGAGTCTCCTGCCTCAGCCTCCCAAGTAGCTGGGACCATAGGCGCCTGGCTATTTTTTGGTTGCAGCCGTCATTGTTTGGTGGGCACGGGCTGGATTCGAACCTGGCACCTTAGGTGTATGTGGCTGGCGCCTTAGCCACTTGAGCCACAGGTGCCGAGCTGGCTTCAGTGATTTCTATTGTTCCCTGGAGAGTCCACCATGCAGCCAGGGTTGAAAGCATTGACCTAACCCAACATCCATGTGGTGGGCAAGTCCTAACTCTCAGGCTAAAGCCTTGCCCTGCGGCACCCGTGCTTCACATTGTCCTTTGGACTGGATCTGCCCCAGGTGACTCCAAAAGGGGATCAGCCCTGATAGAGATAGCCTCACTGGTCAGCAGGGACAGCGGGAATCCTCTCCCCTAGCACTCTGCTTCCCAGGCTAAGGACAGATGGGCCCTCCCAGAAGAGCTGATGAGGGTGTCCTGCCCACGCACGGCCCCCCACCCTGCCCCTCTCTCCTGGGGTTCTCCGAGTTGCTGCCAACCAGAACAATGACAGCATTAGGCAGGGCCATTCAGTATGGTCAGGCCTCTGGCTCACTTCTACCAGTCTGTTAGTTTGGATGGTTGACCACTGTTCTCACCCTTGAAATAAGTCCATCGACCCCCTTGGTGCTGAACACATTAACTTCCATGTGAGTTATGAACTATTTTTCAAGTTTTTACATTGTCCTTTTTACATTACTAATTTTCAAGTTTTTATGTTACTTTTTTATTGGTGTATGTTTTAGGAGGGTTCTGTTTTCAAAGTTTTTATTCTGTTTTCATAATAAAACGCCATGCTCCAAGGAAAATTGTTCTTAGTGTGTGGCAGTCACACACTAAGAGTGTTAAAAGACACTCTGGAGACACTGGCCCTGGGTCCTGCCTCTCCTAGTCTTCCATCTGCCCAGCCACACATTTTTCTGTGTGATTTTTTTTTTTCCCCCTCTCTTCCTCCTGTGACCTTTCCTTAAGCTTTTAGAGTAAATGGTTTTATTCTAACAGTACCGCTGTCACAGCCCTGGGGCCCAGGAGCATACAGTGATTTGCACCTGCAGATGAACTATTGGTTATTCCTTAATCATAAATGGATTAATTGGGTCCAAGTAGGTACCTACAGATGTGCAATCATTATGACTTCCTTGCTCAGAGCCAAGCGTTCAAAGGATATTGTAAAATGAGCCTGGGTACTTTTGGGAGGCTGACTTAGCGTGAGCATTAACGGTGAACCACATCAGCCTCAAGGGTGCCCGTGGGGAAGGGCCTGGGGGGCTCTGCGAGCATGTTGCATCTGGAGACTAGACATAAACACCTCCGTTTGATGATGTCAGTGAGTGATGCTTTTGCTTTGAGCCCTGCCAGGCTCTTACTGAATGTCTGCTTGGTTAGGAAGGTAGTATGCTATTTTGGTCCAAGGCTAAATATTATTTGTCAGCCATTAAAATATGCAAAGACCTCTGCTAGTTAACTGTGCCCCTTGATAAGGAGTTTGCATAGAAATGGGCTTAGTTTAGGAGGCAAATTGCAGGGTGAAAAGTGGCTGGTTAAGACTCACCTCCTCCTCAGCGCAGCCTCCTGGGGATAGGTCAAGGGGGAAAATACATACTTTGGAAGCATCTAGCAAGGTGGTGGGAGCGGAGATGGGCACCACCGAGTTACACTACAAGTTCACAGGGCTCACCCTGGAGGCAGCAAAGGGTCCTGTCTTAGGAAGGGCAGGCTATCACTTTGCGGCAGGATGAATTCTTTATGATGGCTATTGGTAGTCCCTTCCGAGCTCTCTATCTCCATCTCAGAGAATCTCCTGGTTTGTTCCATTCACAAAGTAGAGAAAGACATGTGCTGAATATAAAGGAACAGGTGGGCATTTGGGCTTTTTTATTCCCATCCAGAAATCTGGACTTTAAGTGCTCCTGTGCACACACACAAGCGTGTCTCTGCCTTTATTGAGACTGCTACAGCAAAGTGCCATAATAAACCAGGCGGCTTATAAACATTAGAAGTTGGTTTTCTCGGCTCGGCGCCTGTGGCTCAAGCGGCTAAGGCGCCAGCCACATACACCTAAGGTGGCGGGTTCGAATCCCCATCCCGGGCCCGCCAAACAACAATCATGGCTGCAACCAAAAAATGGCCAGGCGTTGTGGCGGGCGCCTGTAGTCCCAGCTACTTGGGAGGCTGAGGCAGGAGACTCGCTTGAGGCCAGGAGTTGGAGGTTGCTGTGAGCGTGATGCCATGGCACTCTACCCAGGGGGACAGCTTAAGGCTCCGTCTCAAAAAAAAAAAAAAGTTGATTTTCTCACAGTTCTGGAGACTGGAAGTTCAAGACCCTGATACCAGCGTGATTGGGGGCTGGGGAGGGCTCTTTCCTGGGTTACAGAACGCTGACTTCTTGTATCCTCACAGGGCAGGAGGGGAGCTAGAGAACTTGGCGAGCCGGGCTCCCAGGGCACTAATCCACTCATGAGGGAATCGTGTCCCAAAGACTCCACCTCCTAATGCCATCACAGTGGGGGGTAGGGTTTGAAAATAGGAATTTGGGGAGGACACAGACATTTAGTTTTTAATAATTGTGTGTGTGTGTGTGAGCGTGCACCTGTTCAACCCAGGAGGAGTATTATCCCATATGCTAGCTTTAAAAAAATCTTCCAACTTGTAAAAAGATATATTCTATTTTGGTTATTTCTTAAATAAGCACCTCTCCTCTCAATCTGTGAAGGCTAGATGCAGCTTTTAGAAAGGGGAGTTGTCAGGATGCTTTTGTGGATGGGCCTGTTTCACTTGGGTGACTACCCTGGCCCTTGGGCTGCCCTGCAAGGCCTCCTGTGCTCCACCCTGCAGCCCCAGACTGTGCAGGGCTTAAGGAATTGTTAATGGGATTCCTCAAGAGTCATTCATCATCCCATGGGTTCCCCCTTGACTCTGAGTCCTTGAGGATAAGAGTCGAGCCTGGTTCACCTCTGTGTCCCCAGTGGGCTAGGCTTGCAGTCGTGTTGGTGGCATGGATGTGTTGAGAGGATGGACCTGCCTGGGCTTTACTGGGGTCTGGACTGTATCTGAGCTGCCCTAGGACCTCCTTAGGGTAACTGAAGGTGAATGCACAGATAGGCTCTTGCTCTGTTGCCCAGGCTGGAGTGCAGTGGCATCGTCATAGCTCACTGCAGCCTCCAACTAATCCTCAACTGATGTTCCTGCCTTGGCCTCCCAAAGCGCTGGGATTACAGATGTGAGCCACTGTGCAGGCACTGAGGAGTATTGTTTAAAGGATTTGAATACCAAAAGGTTAAGAAAGGTACTCAAAAAATTGATGGAGTCTTGGAATAGTTTACAGAGATGACTTTCTGATTGTCTTATAAAAGTAGAATAAGATACAAAGCAAGAGGAATCAGGGATGTTGGTTAGAACAAGTACACACAAACTTTTTAAAAACCAGTGTTTCATTCTTCTATAAGCAGCGGTTCTCGACCTGTGGGTTGCAACCCATAAGAACTGTATTAAAGGGCCGCAGTATTAGGCAGGTTGGGAACCACTGTTTTATAGGCTAAATCAGAATGTAGTTATAATTGCATGTGATTTTTTTTGTTTTTTGAGATAGTCTCACTCTACCACCCTGAGTAGAGTGCAGTAGCATCCTAGCTAACAGCAACTTCAAGTTCCTGGGTTCAAGCAATTCTCTTGCCTCAGCCTCCTGGGTAACTAGAAGTACAGGCACTCGCCACAATGCCTGGCTAGTTTTCTATTTTTAGTAGAGATGAATTCTCACTCTGGTTCAAACTGGTCTTGAACTACTGAGCTCAACCAGTCCTCCTGCCTCAGCCTCCCAAGATAATTGCATATTCTTTGTTTTTTATTTCTGATTGTTTTGGCACATCTAATCTGAGGTTACAAATTACCTGTCCTTATTCTAAATTTTATCAAATGTAATTTTAAAAAGACTTAGCTTTATATTTTTAGCCTCTTCTTTAAAGACTCAGTTGAACTTTCTCTGTCCATCCACATCCACCAAATCATTTACTATAAAATTATGGCCCTTGTTCAAGTGGATTTATTTTAAGTTACCACCACACCACCCTGCTCCATTTACTTTGATATTCTTAGTTAAGTAGGACCAGTTCTTACTTCAGCCTGGTAAAAGAAAGTGGTAGATTGAGGAGGTGTTAGCAGGTGTCTGCAGTCCTTTAGCGGCCCAGAGGAGTTACTTTTTGCATAATCATGCCGCATACTTATTCTTAGGGATCTCTGAGAAACTCTCCCAATGGAATAATTTCTTCCTTGTTTCTAGTTGCTCTGGAAATCATAGCCATCCATAGACTATAACGTTTTGATTGGATCCTAGTGATTTTGCAGATTTATTTAATGGAGTTTTAAAAGGCGATATTTATGAGTTACCTAGTTCAGAGCACTGATATTTGAATACTTAACAGTATAATCTAATGCTTTAGAAAAACTGCACACAGTAACCAAGTTATACTACATGTTATAAGAGGCATCTCGTCTTTTTTTTTTTTTGGTCTTTGGGGAAAATTGTAGCTATAAAAAGGGCCACTTTCTTAATCACCACAAAGAGGTCTTCTACCAGGGAGAATGTTCGGAATTCAGCCAGGCAAGATGAGCTTGGTGTTCACTGTGCAGGGAGGGCGTGAACGTGGCATCCTCTTAGGGACAGCTTCTGTCCCATCTTTATTGTTGTTGGTGGTGTTGCAGTTTGGCCGGGGTCAGGTTCAAACCCACCACCTTCGGGATATGGGACTGGTGCCCTACTCACTGAGCCACAGCCGCCACCCCCCCTTTTTTTTTTAATGTGGACTTCATTTTTAAAGGACAGTTTTAGATTTACAGAAATGTCTGATCAGTTTCACAATATAGTTTTAACTGCTAGAATTTTTTCCTTCCTTCTCTTTGCAGACGTCGCCTCATCTCCCAGAGATCTTCTTTGGAGACCCTGGAAGACATTGAGGAGAATGCCCCTCTCCGGAGGTAAGTTCTCGATGTTTCCATTTACACATATGTGAATTATTTGTAGTATAAATGTACAACCAAAAATTGATGATTTTTTAAGTAAGTCCTTGATATACAGAATTAAATTTAAAAATGATTGTCTGAATCCCGGGATCTGTGGAACATACTCCTGGTTTGGAACTCAACCTCAGCATCAGAGCTAGAAAATGATTCAGTCTCAATTATGTATTAGAAAAGCTGCCATTTGCGTGTGAATTTGGGTGCTTTTCCACCTGTGGTTTCCTTGTCATTTTTCAAAGCTGCTGCTCCATGGAAGTCCTTTCCGCAGGTGCAGTTATACAGTATTTGTGGGCCTGGACTTCATTTCCAGATGGAGGGACACCAGAGCTCCTTAGGAGGAGCCCTGATGTCATTCCCTAGCTCATTGCTGCGGAAGCCCAATCAGGATGCTGTGAGTGCTCCCTTGGGTCTGAAGGTGCTCCCTTTCTCTCTTGGAATTTGGAATGTGTTTGCGAGGCATCTTTCTGGGTGACAGCAATTGCTGTGATGTGCTGTGCCTGGCGGGTCCCTTTCCAGTAATCCAGCCACAAGATCTCCTGGGCCCTCCTGTGGAGGAAGAAGCTCATGTACCTGCTTCCATCCCCCTTGCAGACTGGAGCTGGGTGGGGCAGTGGTGGGCGCTCCACCTTCGGCCGAAGGATCTAGAAAGATGGATGCAGGGTCTTCATAGAGACTGCAGGGCAGGTGGCAGCAGGAAAGATCAGGGAGGATGTGAGTGCCCAGGGACGGGCATGGGAGGGAACCCAAATCTGCCCCTAATGTGCCTTGGCCCTGACCAGGGTGGGGGGAGTCCCTGGCTCCTCTCTTTGAGCCTGAGAGGGTCTGTTAGAGGGGAGAGCCTTGCCCTGGAGCCGGCTCCTGCCATGTCCACGGGCTTCCCCCACGTGAAGAGCACAGACAGCCTGGGGCCAGAGCAAAAGCTTTAGGTGACCAGCATCTCATCCCCCATGTCATCCCAAAGACAAAGTCAGGACCAAACAGTCCCATCTCCACTTTTAAAGTCTTTTTTAAAATGTGGGTGAATGGCGTGTGGCTGCTGCCTGGTGAACGTGGCTTGGGCACAAGTATTCTTCTATGAGGCACTAGTCAGTGTTGGGAGAAGGCTGTTCCCCTGCAGGAGTCATACCAAAATTAAAAATCAAATTAGGGAGTTGGCTTTGGTCCAAACTCAGCCAGCCTCCAGGAAAAGTGTTCTCAGGCCATGTGAGGTGGCTGTCTGGCCAAGGTTCTCCTTGCCACAGACAGGAAAATCAGTAAATAAAGCTGAGAACCGCCTGGTGTTTCAAGAGGCTGCTGGAAGCCAAGGTCCTTGGAAGAATAAAGAAGATGGTAACCCTGAGCCAAAGGAAACCAGGTGGTTCAGGGGACAGGCTGAAATGTTCCCTCCTCAAGGATTCCTGGAGAGGGCTGTGACGCCTCAGGGCACAGGTGTCCTTTGTCTGGGAGTAGTTAAGGGGAGGCCCAGGGAAGACCTATGTTCCTGGTTGGTGTCCCCTCCATCCCATTCTGTCCTCAAATCTGTGCAGGCTGGGCCGCTGCTCTTTGCTCCTCAGCCCTGTGGTAGCGCAAACTGGCTTTACTCACCTCTTACTTGAGAATATGCTACACTGAATCCAGGTGAATCTTGTATTGTTCTAAGATTTTAAAACTTAAGTCAGAAACAAAGGGAATTCGGGCAGTTTTAGAAATCTTTATTTCCCGCATGGACTTTTTTGGAATTTAAAAAAGATTCTCATATTTACTTAGAAATCTACTTACTCCTAGAAAATAAAATAAAGCATAGTGTAGAAGAGATGTTAGTTTTGGGGGACCTGAGTTTGTGGCCTCACTCCTCAAACTAGAAATTTGCTTAGTGCCACTGGAGCCTCAGCTTTCCCTTCTGTAAAATGGGAGAGTTGAATAGGCTAATCTCTGAGGTCCTTCCCAATCCGTGAAGTGAAGGTACTAATAATGATGTGGAAGTGTTTTGGGAATTGTGGGGGCTGAAGGCTATATGCCCAACTTGCTTTTAAGCTTCACCCAAGAACAAATTGCTCCAAGGCATCTATTAAACCTTTTGCATAATTAAGTGTATCCTATAATCAGTGCTGACAGGAAACAGCTAATCTTTCATTAAATTAGTTTTTAATTTAATTCTATCCTAATTTAATTTTGCGTCACTTTAAATGCATGTTTTTAAATGGGAGTTTACATGTTAACGCAGGCAGCTTTGAGATTAATTGGTTCTTTGCTTAACCTGCACAACCTGGGCGCTTGGTATTCCAGTTGCCTTGGCGATTGTTGCTAACACCACGATTCTCTTAATGCAGTTCTTAGATTCCCTGGTGGTTTAGTTGAATGCTTAAAAATATGAAAGACGACAAACAGCTTGCTGAACAAAGGGCTAGATTAGTAGGGTGTATAGGTAGTTAAAAGTGGGGGCTGATAAGGAAATCAAAGACCTTGGTTAAGTTGCCCTTGTTAGAAGTCCTACTTTCCTCTTGCATATCATGTTAGTGCATTTCCTGTGTCCACCTAGAACTCTGAGAATCAAACATTTACAATGAGAAGACTTGGACTGAGGAGTTTACCACCTGCCGGGTAGTTTGGCTTCCCCATATCCAAAAATAAGGAATTAGGCCACCTCTCCTAGGTGTCAACAAAAACCTCAGTTTGTCCACGGCGGTGAATGTGGCAACCATCAGCAGCTGCCCTGGTTTTCCAGACTGTCTGAGTTGACGGGTGCTGGTGGCCACAGCTGTTAAAGTCAGCACAGCTGCCTCCTTCCCCTGCTGGTATGGATGGCCACCTGTGGCCCTTTTGCCGATGTGCAGTTTCCACCGGAAGGCTGAAGAATTTGGGGCCCCTCTTTCTGGGTACGGGTGGCAGGGAGCAGCTCAGGTCATCCCTCCCCTGCTGCATCAGTGCCAGCTTCCTGCAGCTGGAAGGTGGCAGGAGGAAGGTGCCAGAGTGTGCTGAGGTGGCAGGATCTGTGTGCAGCTGGAACCTGCTCACTGCCCTCCTTTTGGCCCGCTGCCCTGAGACTTGCTGGCCCCAGGAAGCTCTGCTTTTGGGGAGGGAAATGGAAGAAGGGTATAAGGGCACTCCTGAACTCTTAGCCCTGTCCGGACGCCACTAGAGACATATTTCTATGCTTTCCAAGATTCTCTTCTCTCCAGCAACTTCATGTTTCTAGAATATTGTGTGTGAGAGACAGTTGGGAACCTGCAGGCTCAAGCACTCATTCTGGAGCTAAAACCGAGGCAGTTTGGGGTTCTGGGTCTCCTTCCAGAGCAGCACCATGAAGACAGACTCCTTCTGCCTAAATGCTGAGCCCATTAGATCTGGGATTGGAAGGCTGGAGTGAGTAGGGGGAGGGGGTGGTGGGCACCATCCCTTCCTCTCACCCTGTCGGAGGAAGCCGGTAGGAATCACAGGGCTTCTGTAAGCTTTTAAACATCATTGAAAGCCAAGAATTCAGGACGTTTAATATGGGCTGTGGTTTTAAGGATAAAGGAGGCACCCTTTGTTGCTAATGGTTTATGAATAATGAGAGCACTGGAAATTCGAATGTGAATCCTTATGTGTATATGTAAATAATGTCTGTTGTATTGAATAGGCATGGAGCTTACAAAGTTTTCATGTTTAACCCTTATGACACCAGCAGGGGAGGATGGGAAGTACAATAATAAATCAGGGTCAACAGTAAGTTTGGGAGGAGAGGCCAAGAGGACCATGGTGTCTGCCCCTGTGTAGTGGACAGCAATCAAAGGTGGGGCTTTCCTCCTCTGGACCCATGGCCCGTGAAACTCCTTTTTCCTGATGAAAGCCACCAAATAAATACCCGATATGATGCCTTTGTTTTGGTTTAAATTTATTTACTTTAGTGTTATTTATTCAAGTTGAATTACATTTTAAGATCCTATTTCTTTTTTTTTTTTTTTGAGACAGAGCCTCAAGGTGTCCCCCTGGGTAGAGTGCTGTGGCATCACAGCTCACAGCAACCTCCAACTCCTGGGCTCAAGCGAGTCTCCTGCCTCCGCCTCCCAAGTAGCTGGGACCACAGGCGCCCGCCACAACGCCAGGCTATTTTTTGGTTGCAGCCATCGTTGTTTGGCGGGTCTGGGCTGGATTCGAACCTGCCACCTTAGGTGTATGTGGCTGGCACCTTAGCCACTTGAGTCACAGGTGCCGAGCCAAGATCCTATTTCTTATGGGGAAAAATGCTTCAGCACCCTCCCGGCAGGCCTTGTGGGGAGCTTGCCCTTACTAGCAGGGTGGGATGAGATGCATTGCTCCTGAGCCCCTGGAGGTGGGCCCCTGGGAGAGGGCAGAGGCTGAGGCTACTCTGGGAGGTCTGCAGCCTTGCCTGTTCCTCAGTCCAATTCCCAGACGTGACCACCCGCCTCACCTTCCCCAACTGAGCCTCCTTGCTAGAGTCATCTTGTTCTTCCTCTCCCTAAATCCTCAAAGTGTAGAACTGACCGAATTCAGGTGACAACCCAGCCCAGACCTCAGTGTGGGCTTTGGGAAGCTGGGTACTGCTTCTCTGGAACTCGCTTTCTGAAGCACAGACTCCTGGGTGCCCATATCCTACGGCAAGAGCCAGTTCTTGGGGCCCGTGGCCAGAAAAGTTATGGTAGCAAAACCCAAAACAGGGAAGTCATAGCTCCTTTTATCAAGCAAAGACTAAGCTTCAGACTCTTATTTGTTGGGCTTTTTGTTGTTGCAGTTTTGTAACTTACAATTTGCTAGGTAACTGTGAAGACACCACACAAATAACATCTCTTTGGCCTATGGTCTGTGTGCCAGTCCCATAGTACAAAGAAATATTTATGCCAGGGAAAGAAGAGTATTTGAATTCAAGTCACTTTAGTTCAACAAATGTTTATTTAAAATTTATCAAAAAAAAAAAAAAGAAAAGAAAGAAAGAAGCCCTAAGAAATACCCAGCAACTAGCTGAGTCTCTGCTTCTCATTCAGTTTAAAGCTGTGACTTCCAGGCACAGATGGGGAATTTGATCATTGAGGCAACTGTCCAGAGGAATTCAGGCCAAAGTCCTACTACAGAAGAAAAATGATTCAGGGATGTTTTTAAACTGAATTTTCCAGTGTCTCTCCCCCCTCCCCTTAAGTCCTTTAAATGTGCAGTTTTCTGTTCCCTTTACCTGTGTTGATATAGGAGAATCCTTTTTAAGATAACAATAAAGAATAATGTCTTTGGAATCTGCTTGCTTTATTGCAACTGGGGACAATGGTTTTCATTACCCGGCATTTCAGGGACCCATATAAAATATTATCAGTATCATCAAGGAAGTTGTCTGTCATTAGGGATTTTTTTTAAGCTTCCTTGCTTCCAGCCGTATTGTCTGCATTATCCCTGCGACTCCTGCCTGCCTTGGGGTGACTCAAACCATTTGTCTGATCTTTCCTTCCTGTCTTTGTGTAGAGATTTCTCAGCTGTCCAGCGGGCAACTGACTGTGTTTTGAAATGACTTTATTTTTCAGATGTCGAACTCTCTCAGGTTCGCCCAGACCAAAGAATTTTAAGAAGATTCATTTTATCAAGAACATGCGGCAACACGACACAAGGAACGGCAGGTATTGCCCTGACTTGAGAGCTGCCCAGCGGCGGGAGGGGCAGGGCGGTGGGGGGGGGCAGGGGCTCAACGGGCCACAGCCCAGCAAAGCTGAGCACACACTTTAAAAATGAACAGCACCTCCTGGAATCTCCCCGGATAATTTCTACCCCACTTACGCCAAAATCACCCAAAGGAGTCTGTAGAGAATAATGCTCCCTAAGGCTTAGTGAGATGTTCAGACCAACAACAAACTGAACTTTTGAATGCAAATATTTTTTATAGAAACCTTTGAATAGAAAAAGTCGAGTTTTTATGGGTTTTTGTTTGTTCTCCCGCTTTGTTGGTTTTCTTTTTGTTTTGCACCATCACTGTGTGCTCTGGTTGATAACTACCCGCCAGATCTCTGCCTGAACTTGGTTTTGGCTCTGGCTTTCACTCCGGTGAGGAAAGTAGAATCACAATGTTGCCAGCAGATTCTTTCTCAGAGCTGATTCTCATTTCAGGGCCTGCTGACATCTGGAGTATGTACTGCTTTCTCCAGCTCTCAGTTGTTCTTTGGAAGTGCCATTAAATAAAAATTATTGTAGTTGAAATTTATATGGCTTTGATATTAAAACTCTACAGAGTTTTAAACCTCTAACAAACAGATCAGAATCTGGTTGCCAGTGTGCTTATGATTGAATGACTAAATCCCTTCGTCTCAGGCCTGACAGTGCATGTGAACAGTGCAAGATCTCTGGGGTCCCCTGTGCTCTGTTATCCTTAGGGGGGCAGCTCCACACCACCAACTTGAATGGCTGAGTTAGAGACACTGCCTAGAATGCAGGTCCTAATGCAAAGATGGTCTTATTTAATCTCCTTCGGACTTGTGGAAGATGGTAGGAACCCCACTGATACTGTCCAGTCCATACAAAATTAAACTGTTGGGACAGCACCTGTGGCTCAAGGAGTAAGGTGCCGGCCCCATATGCCAAGGGTGGCAGGTTCAAACCC